TTACTAGCTCTCCTCCTGTTGGTTAGCCGTTAGCGGTGCTGCTAACGCTACGAGTTGATTAGTTCTTGACATTGTATCATAAAGACCCTCAGCGTCTCTTACCGGCGTAGTAGGAGAAGGTCCTCTTGAGGCGGTCGAAGACGAACCAGCGCTTCTTCCAGGACTTGATCTTGCCGCCCATCTTCACCAGGTAGCCCTTGCACATCTTCTCGGTGAGGATGAGGTGGTAGCAGGTGTCCACGCTGTGACCGGAGGACTCCACGTGGGAGCGCAGGTCGAACTCCTCCTTCCGGATGGGCAGGTAGCGAGTCATCGGACGGGCCTGGAGGGAGAGGACCAATGGGAGGATCAACAGCTGGTTCAGACAGGAAGGACACCGACGTTATCAGCGGTTCATCTCACATATGGAGGATTCTGGTTCATTGTTCAGGAGGAGATTCATGTCCTGGGATTCTTTCAGAGACATAAATGTGTTCTAGAAGGATATTCACTCACACACAGAAATCTACATGAATATACACACAAATAAATAAATACAATAATAACAAATAAATAAAATGTATTCATATATTTACATACACACATATATACACACTAAATACATACACACATATATACACACTAAATACATACACACATATATACACACTAAATACATACACACATATATACACACTAAATACATACACAATACATGTTTTAATTCTGAGGGAGAACAGTAAATTAAGGGGTTACTTTGGTATAAAAACAGTCACATGTATATATTATAATATATCGTTATATTACGACATTGAAATCAGACGTTAAGAAGCAGAAGTTTCTCCGTTGAGACTCTCGGACTCGAGTCGTTTTCCACTTCCCTGCCCGTGACCAGAGGATCTCGTCTCCTTTCACTGACCTGAGAGAAGTTCTTGGCTCTCATCTTGACCTCCTTCTCCACCAGCTGCTGCCGGTGGAACGTCTCCTCCTGCAGTCTCTTCTCCGCCTCCTCCCTCCTCCTCCTCTCCTCCTCCAGCATCTGACGGCGAGCCACAGTCTCTCGCTCCTGGAGGGGAAGAGAGTTCCATTATTAAAACATGTCTCTGATGTATGGAGGAGCTCTGCATGCTTCACCTTCACACATTCAAATCACATTTTTACAGACTAGCTTTCATGTGATGTCATCGCTTTTCTGTTTTATTTGTTGATTTTACTAAATTGTTTTATTTATCCCTCCTCACTCCTCCCTCGTGTCTCCTCACTCCTCCCTCGTGTCTCCTCACTCCTCCCTCGTGTCTCCTCACTCCTCCCTCGTGTCTCCTCAGAGGACAAATAAGATTTTTGTGACTTCAAGATGAGTAACTTCTTTTTGATTTTAACTCAACACGTTTACAGCAATAAGAGTAAGATAGATTTAGTGAAATAAGCAAACAGATATAAAAAAGTAGATTCCAGACACACGAGAATATCTATATCTATATAGAGATATATAGATATAGATAGAGAGAATATGCAGCAGAAGTTATATATCTGATCGTTTGTATTTCAGTCTCTTTCATGAGGACTCAAAGAGAGGAAGACGTTAGAAACATGGAGCCCGATAGAACTGAACCATCACTCTCATTCATGATCAATGCAGAGCTGTGGACAGCAGCTCTCATCCATCACACGCTGCAGACCGAGTAATCATCTTCCTCTCCTGTGAAGTCGTGTCTTACCCTCGACTCGATAAGTCTGGCTTTCTCCAGCTGAGCCTCCCTCAGCATTTTCTCCATCTCCTCGATCTTCATGGCGTCCGCTCCTCCGACACTGAAGTCAAAGGACGAGGTGTTATTACACGACGGTCACGTGACCTTACAGACTGATGGAGCCTGCTGACAGGCTCAGTCCTACCGAGCATCACTTCAGCAGGACTTTGTAGACGTATTCATGAATGAATCCCCTGCAGATCAAAGGGAAGCCTGCTTCTTCAGGGTTCACAACTACACCACAAAAACATTTATTTTACTACTTTGTCTGTACAATAAATACTCGTCTTAATGTGAGTGATGAAGTGGTGAAGGTTCATGGTGATATCTGTTCACCTGTAGAGTCCAGAGATGAGCCACGTTAATGACGGATAGAAACTTAACCAATAAGTCACGTTGGAGATGTTCATCTGAGGCTTCTCATCCATATCAGTGCAGTATTGATCAATGATGCAATAAGAGGTAAACTATTAGAAATGTTTCAGTGTGTGAAATAAAGATTCTACTGTCTCTGTGTTTACCAACAAACGCATACGTCTCACTATAACTGTGACTGTTTAATGAGAAGTGCTTCAGTTTAAAATCATAAGCAGTATTTGATATTCATCCCTTTGGTTTTTAAATGACTCTGCAGTGAAACGCTGCGTTTGCTGCTTTACTTCCTCTCGTCTCCATTAAGCTCAGAATAACATCTCTTGTTAATGTGCCTCCTGAGAGCCGTTAACCGGTGTCTGAAGAGTCGGTGCTGCCGACAACATGCTGAGCTTTAATAACAGGTGAGACAACCTGTGGACGAAGACTTCACCTGAGCAGAGCAGCCCGACCTCAGAGAGTCTGGACTGAGGAGGAGTGACGTCTCTGGTAGAGACCTGTCAATCACTGTGTAGCCCCGCCCGAAAGCATCCCCTGCTTTATGGTCTGTTTGACT